CCCCCCCCCCCCCCCCCCCCCCTCTCTCTCTCTCTCTCTCTCTCACTCTCTCTCTCTCTCTCTCTCTCTCTCTCTCTCTCTCTCTCTCTCTCTATCTATCTATCTCTCTTGCTCTATCGCTGTCTCTCACTCACTTTTAATCACAGAGAAAATCATTCCTCCAGGCATGAGAGGATCATGCTCTACCATCTTGTCCCTCACTCTGGGTTTTCATGGGACCTATTGCAAACCAGGTGACTGTGTATATGTGTGTGTGTGCGCGTGTGTGTGTGTGTGTGTTTGTGTGTGACACAAAGCAAACACAGAGTCTGTACAGCCTTTGTCTTCACTGTGGTGCATTTTAAAGTTTCCATGAGCTACACACAGAAAATCATCTCCTCCTTATATTCATACACAACACATGCAAGTACTCAGACTTGCAAAGGTCCCGCAGTAGGAAACGATAATACCCCTCCTACACTCATGCACCCACCCACACACACACACACACACACACACACACACACACACACACAAACAGTGGTGGCAGTGACCTTGTATGGCAGCCTAACCCAGAACGCATAGCTTTTATCTCAGCCATACTGCTCTCTTGGATGAGTTCATCAGGCTGCTTTCAGGAGGAGAGACACTGCAGTCCAGAGCAGAGGCACGTTTTAAGCTACTGGAGCTGTCAGTCGCTACAAAACCAAATTACTCCAAGTGCCTCCTGTGGCTTTTCCCTTTTTTCTCTTATCAGCATGTCGATGTCAGAGTCAAATAAAGGATCTTTACCCTGAAGCGAAAGTGGTGGATTGCCTAAATACTTTGCGTGCCATAACCACAGCGAAACATTTTCAGGCTACATTTTACTGTAAGCATCTTGTAGTCTAACCAGAAATTAGACTATTGTAATCATATCACCGCAGTATTAAAGCGTTTGACTGCAGAAAGTTTATTTTCAGACGGCATTATTTTCAGGGCGTGAAATTTATATTTTCAAAATAAGACATATTTGTGCATATTCGTATATTTGATCGTTTTTGTCGTCTAGACCTTTGTGTCTGATCGATTTGAAATGAAACCCTCCACGGACAATATACAACAAGTGGACAGCTACTGAGTAAAAAGTGCAAGTTTACTCTAAAATCAATCATTAACTCAGCCTTTTCTAGGACAGCTGCAGCACAAATATAATTGGCCCTGGGGCTAAAGTCAATTTATAACAGAAATACTGAGCATTGAGTTCTGCTTTTCTTCACGTTTTTTAAAGACAATTTAAAGAGTTTTTGTTTTCTGTCTTTTAATACGCAACAAGTGAAGAGCGTCCCTTATTATTTCTCGAGCAGCAAAATAAGAAAAAGAAAATACTTTGAAGTATTTCACCTTGTATTTTTCAGCGGGAAAAAGAATGAAAACGCATATTGAGTGAAAGAATAAAACCAGTTCAGTGCATACATTGGAGCTGGGCTTGATCTTGGAGCTGTTGTAATTACGCGCCTTGTGCGCAACATCTGCATCGCAATTCAGTCAAATCCCAATGTATGAACAGATGTTTACGTTATCTAAATGGCACTGACAGTTACTTCTTCTGTTTATATTTCAGTTTAGATTCAGAGGAGATTAAAGGGTTGAGAGTGTGTGGTGTCGCCTCGGAGACACAGTGACAAACCACATGCAAAACTAACAAACAAACGAATACAAATAATACATATTTTCAGGAGAATATATTTGTTTCCATTCATGAAGGTGTATTGATGAATGGTGTATTTATTAAATTCCATTTTTTTTAAAGTGAGCACGATGTCTGCCAGTTCATTGTACTGTCCAGACAATACATTTTACTGTTTAGGAATCATCACAAAAGACTTGTAGCTGCATGACGCTTTGCTTAATTATTCTACAGCACCGGGAGAACATATCATTTCCACTTCCAAGCAGTTGACTGTTTATTTCCGAATAACACCCATAGGGTTCTAGCTTAACTTAATTAAGTTCCTTAAATAAAAGGAAAACACATTAACAACGAGTTGCAGAATAAACAGATCATTTGTTTTTTGCGTGACAACGTGGTCTTTTTCACATTTATTTCAAGAAATGCATCCTAATCTGCGTTTGTTCTGTTTAAAGCATTTTATCTTTAGCCCCACTTGTTGATCGCAATTATCTATTTGCATTTGTCAAGAAAAAATATGATTGTTTCTACAAACTTGTCTGATGTTGCTCATCTTAATAGAACGTTGACTGTGAGTATATAAATCAATACTGAGTATAAAGCTGCTTTATTCCACAATGTCATTTTCCTCACAGGGCTCCAAAAGCAGCCTATAAAAAGGGTCCATTTGCGGGGAACTTTTATGAAAACAAAGTGACGGATGAATGCACCTGTTCACACTATTTTTTTTTTTTTTTTTACAAATAAATCCCAAAAGGTGATGAAGCTGAACAATGCAGTCATGGTATAATACAATCACCATACACAATTTCACAAAAACAAGGAAAAAGAAAAGAAGTAAGAACACAATCCGTACATGACCAGCATGCATGGCTTCACATAACTGTTACAGTCTGACACCCAACTTCTGCGGTCACTGAGTTTGGATGTTTTCACATGACAAATAGGATGGATGATATGAAAATGAGATCATTCATATCAAAAATGAATTGACTTGAAAAGAAAAAACTAAAATAAATTTACATCAAAATAAAGCTGATGTGCCTGAGGATTGTTGAATTTCATAAAACTATTTTTGGGTAAAGGGGACAGGATGGACGAGGCGCATGGGGAGGCTGTACGTGCGGACCTCAGAAAAGTGTTAAGTCATTTTATGCAGTTTGTCTGAGGACAAACATCGCGAATTGGACAGAAATCTTTTAAAAATTAAACAGGCATATATTTGTGGCCAGATATCATTGAAATGTGATGAAACAAGACCCTGAAACAAAATATTATTCAAATACAGAAAGGTGTAAAACCCTTTTGTCCTTAACTAACGCAGCTCCAAACAACTTCAACTCAAGCACGCACAACCTTTTTCTAGCTGCGTGCAAATTAAAAGTTTTTTTTTCGGTTTCTTTGTGAGGGTCGGTTATTAAAACTTTTCAGCGCCGAGACTCACATGAAAAACTCCGGGGATGATGGGTTGTTGTCGCTGGATCCTCCGTTTTCTCTGAAGCCGGTGCTGATCAGCTTCTCGTATTTCTCCTTGTAGGCGTCCCTCTCCCTGGCCAGCCGGGAGATCTCCTGCTTGAGGTGGTCCACCTGCTGAATGAGCTGCGTCTTCTCTCCCTCCAAGACGTGCCGCTGCTGGACCCGCTTGTACCGGCAGGACTGGGCATAGCCTCTGTTCTTTAGCGTCCTCCTCTTCTGTTTCAGACGGATCACCTCTTCTTTGCTGACCCCCCGGAGCTGCCGGTTCAATTCCCGCACCGACATTGTCACCAGCTGCTCGTCCGAGAACCGGTCATCCAAGCGCAGGTGCTGGTGGCTTCCCCCCACGCCGCTTCCGGATTGAGACCCGGAGTGTGCCCCTGAGTGGTGGTGGTGGTGATGGTGGTGGTGGTGGTGGGGATTCCCGTTCTGAGCTGCGGCTGCAGCGATGACCGCGGATACCACGGCGGCCGCTGATCCCATCTCCTCCCCGGCCATGGCGCCTCCTGCCCCGGCTGCGCCGCCGAACTGCTGCCCCCTGCCATAGCCATCGAAGGTCTGGAGCTGGTGATTGCTGCTGATCAGCGCCTCTACGGCGTCCTCCGGGCTAAAGCCCAGAGCCTCGGGGTTCAACTGCTGTTGGTACCCGGTCATCCAGTAGAAATCCTCCAAATGTGCCTTTTGCTCGCTCCCTGATCCCGGACTGGGCGCCGAGAAGCTTGGCGAGGGGGGAACCGAACTGCAAGGCGTGCTCATCGGGGTGGAAGATAGGGATCCCCCGGCGACCAGGCGGCTGCACTGGCTGATGCTGCGATCGGGCTCCACCGGCTCCTTTTTCACTTCAAACTTCATCAGATCGAAGTCATTAACATATTCCATGGCCAGGGGACTGGTGGGCAGGTCGGAGTTGCTCATTGCCAGCTCTGATGCCATCCTCTTGCTGTTGACAGTCCTCCAAAGGGGGTGAGGAGCACCTGTCAAAGTGGGCTGCTGAGACACGCACTGAGCCAGCTTGATTTCTTTATTTATTTTCTTCAAAACCGGAGAAAAAGTGGATTTTCACGCACTAATTGCGCAGCGCAGGTTTTGGTTTTGTGAGTCGATAAGTTTTTTTTTCTTCAGTCTGTGTTGCACAGACGCATTGGAGCAGCGCTGTTTCCTCCCTCTCTCCCAGCGTGCGGGTGTCTGGGCGCCGCTGTCTATGTTTCTACCATTTAACACTTCATGGCTCCTTTTAGGATTAGTGCGCCAAATTGAGGAGGTTCACGCACGTGTCCCGGGCAAATAGTTGCTTTGTGGAGAAAAAAAACCTCCACCCTAAGATTGATAGATTTTTTTCTAAGGCATCAGTCAGCCGACGAGTTAAAAAGCATTGCTTAGTTTTATAGGCGCCCTGACGTCAGGACTGAAATATGAAATTGACTGAGACTCAGCCAATGAGGAGCTCAGCCTGGGGATGTAATTAGCATAATAGTATAGAAACCAAAGTTTTCTTAACTGTCCAAGCACATCAGTAGATTGACACATAATAATAACATTCATTCTTTTGTCACTTTGCATGGAAAATAGCAACAACCTGTAAAATAAAACAGATTCTGATGATTGACAGAAGATGTTAGATTGTAAATATACAGATGTAAGTTTCTTAGATTACCAAATCGTTATGATTTCACCAGATATTTAATGTTTATCCATCATCATATTAATCACATAAAATATTTAGATTTTTTAATAAGAATCATATTTGTCACCAATAGTTTGTTTCAGAACTGTTGTTCAGTCCAGCTCTCATTTAGTGTGTTGATATATCAAGACTGTGCACAGGTGTATTTCATATAGGCAGATTCATAATTAAGGAGTTAAAACTCGTCTCAGACAACATAACTGTTTTAGTCACTCTACCCAAACTTTTTGGAATAAAAAGCATCGAAATGCATTTGAACGATTTTCACTGAGCGACAGATTAGTCTATATTCCACATTTAATCGATGGATAAACAGTCGATATTCCTCATATAATCACAGAAATGAATACGGATAAAGCGAGTCGTTGTGTGAGGACGGTGGAAGTGTTTGAGGAGAGCATGGTATGGGTTTGGTTGAATGACATTGTTTGGAAACCCAACGTCGCCACCTTTCGGTATACAATAATATTTCATGTGGCTTTTAAAAGGGTCTGTGTCCGATACACCAGCTGTGTGCAAATTGTTTTCTGATGAATGTAAAAATCTTTTATAATTTTTTAAAAACATTTTGTATCACTTTGCCCTTGTAGAGCCTCCTCTGCTCGCTGTTAGGCTGACTGCAGGATTTTAATCTTATTTAACAGGACACACATTTACTGGCATGACTCTTCATGACAAAAGGAACATTTGTGTTCAAAACAAATGCAAAAAAACGAAATCACCTTTAAAAAAACAATCGACTTAAAAAACTTTTTCCTTCAGGAGAAAACTTGTTTTTTTTGGTCACAATAATATGTTGTCCTTGACAACATAAAATCCTTTTTCTAATGGAATACTCTGTAGTGACTACACCTCCATCTGTTTCCTTCTGGAGTCTGTAGTCTCAATCCCATGTAATGATCACAGTCTCTCTCCTGGAGCACATTCCTCAGGAGTGGTGGCACATGAGAACAAACAATAAGGACGACTATACACAGAGGACTGGAGAGTAAATAAGAGAACTCTCCCTGGAACATGTCACACGGGGAAGCTTCAGAAAACTACAAAGCCGCCAGCAGATAATCCAACTCCCCAGTGTCACAACGCAAGTAAATATTCTCTTGGTCCCTGTGACTGTTCATGGGGACTTAACGTTAAACAGGAGGGATAAACATCGTGTTTTATTCATTAGAACGTACAACAGAGGCCCCTCTGATGCTTTTGAATAAATATTAAACATGAGGTGCCCCATCTGATGCTACACTATATGTTGTTGCTGTTGTAGTGTAACTTGAGACTGGTAGTTGGATATACGGCAGGAAAAGAACTTCAAAGTAACAGTAATACATGTTTTTCATACAGGAGGTGTTGCTTTTTATACAGTTATTTGTACGTTTTTTAACCTATCATGACGTTTAGTGACAGGACAATTATGTCATAATTGAGTGAGGTAAATAAACATAATAGAGTTACCAAAAGTCATCCTGTAAAACTGGCAAAATGACCTAAAACATCATCAAAATGACAATTGCTCTCCTAGTACATGTACAATTGTTTAGCACACAAGTCACAGCAGACACAGCTTAAGACAGCAGCTTATGTTGTTCATATGTCCACACAGCTCCATATTTGAAGCAGTGGACACTATACAGTAGCTGCTGTGTGAGCTCTGGGTTTGCCAGATCTCTTAAACCAGGATTTATCGGCCCGGGAGTCTCAAGGGTTAACAAGCAGAGTCCAGAGCCAATGCATCAGCTGTGTTACTGAGGGCTAATAGTCCTGTATGCACCCCATTCGCTCTCCCTTTGGAGTTTCATGTAGGAAGCTCGTTCCCACAAAGTTTACTACTGTCTTTATTTTATCGCGGATGATTTTTTTCCCCTACAATATACAAGGGTTGCACTCAGGCATATATCATAAAACAACATTGAAATAAATGCTACACAACAAAGATTAGATAAGACAACATAAATTAAGCTGTTATTTCTCTCTCCAACTACATTACATTAGGATGAAAGTTATGTTCCAGGTGGATTGAATAGCTTCATTTAACTAAAAATTAGGGCCGTGTTTACTTACTATAAGAAGGACTAACCTACACCAATATACCAACCAAATAGCGTTAAATACTTGTAAAACTAATACTTGTATCACTTTGTGAACCCAGAACCTTACAGTCAAGTGATTTGTGAATGAAAACATGCAACCCTTTGAGGCCGGGTGACTCTTTTGTAACGCTGCTAATGCTCTGGCCTTACGCCTACAAACGTAATGTGGAGCCCAGCTACAGTACGTGTTAATGAGACACTGTCTGACCTTTCAGAGTTCACCCCAGGAGAACACTGATGCATCCTGGGTAAAGGATAACCAACACTCCTTGAGTTGCCCGTGATTTACTGGTACAGTGACTTTACTAATTGTTACATCTATTAAAAACATCCTCATTACAGTATGACTTATGTGTCACGTTGCAATAGACTTCACTTTCATTTTCAGCATGCTAACCTTTTGTTTGCCTCTGGGGTTCCCTGAAGATGTGCACTTACAGAGGATGTGCACGACTTGTTGTTTGTTACCCACCTTTGTAATAGAAATGTTTTGCTTCCAGGTGAAGAAGCAGGAGCGACTTGTGAGCAGAAATACAATTTATTTGGGACAAACATGGCAACTTGCACACCACAATATGATCTTATGCTGTATAACATATTATTACAAAGAAAGGACAGGAGGATTGAGAGCGTTGAGAACTAATTAAAGCTCCCTTTATGCATCTGCAAGATATGCATTTTATAAACACTCACACTATTCAAAATCTTAAGTGTGCCAAAAATAGCCAAAGACATTACCATATTTAACAGACAGTAACTTAAATAAAACGACAGAAACTAAACTAAAGGATTTCTGCATGACCAAGATTATGCCTTATAATCATTCATTACATTCCCAATGGGAGGTAGGCTTCATATTCATTCTCAATCCCTGTTTAATGCCATATATTAAACTCTGGTGGCAACCCAAATGGGGGACAACCAGACAAGTGGGCTCAGTGGGCTCATCTGAGACACATTTAATTAGCAGGACAGAAAATGAAATGTTTCGTGGGGTCTTAACTAAGTGTTGTATCTTTTGTAATAGAATGAGGAGCTGTGAGAAGCTATTACAAGGAGGAGCATGAAGAACGGTACTCTTTCCTCTGCCAGTGTTTTATAAGGGGGAATAAAAGAACGCATATTAAGATAATAAGCTCCCACATCACAGAAACAAAGTGCCATATTTGCAAAGTGCTACGTTTGAGAGAACATGCTTAGTCGGTCTCGCTCTCTCTCCCACTATCTCACTGTCCTGTTCTCCAATTCTGCGCTGATCAGACTTTTATAACCTTTTTGATTAATTTACTTACTCAGCAAGCAGGTAGCAGCTCTGAGTTTGAACTGTCTGTTTATGTGTGGATTTGAAAAACGTCTGCATGGTTAATGGAGGAGAAAGGGCCCCTCGTCAAGTGATTACCTGACAGTGTACCTGTGTGTGTGTGTGTACACTCACAGAGAGATTGAGGAACAGGGAAAGACAGGGCATGACTTACCCTTAATATGTTTGTATAAAGGACTGAGGTTGCTCTGTTGTTTTTGCTTCGATCTAGCACTGCTTTTTAAACTCCACAGTGGCGGGGATGTCCACCACCGTCAATCACCCTTAAAGCCTCAAAATGGAAACATTATGCAGAGCAAAACACCAGAGCAGTGTAAGATTCAGATTCAAATGACTGGATGCTCTTGATTAGAAATCCACACAGAGACACTCTCTCTGTGCCTGCCAGAAGGATGCTTCAACCCGGTAATTGGCCACAATGAGCAGACTTGCATGTGTCAAACTCTCCTCTTCACATCTGGTTATTGTCTCTCACAGCAGGTGGACATCACAGGCATCGTCTGAGCGGTCTCATCTGCTCTCTGTCTCTGTGTAACATGGGATGCACTGCTATTATACTTTAAAAACCAGCAAAACTGCACGCATAGTTTGAAATATGAGATCTCTAGTGTGAACGGGTAACATGATGAAGAGATGTGGGTCCTTCACATGTCAGCGCAGTCTGCGAGTTAATGATTTTCAAGGACTTTATGAATACACAAACACGTGAAATTGGACAGCAAGAGGAAATAGTTGATTGCGGAGGTTCCAGGTTCATGAATGTAATCATGTTCACACACACAAATAAAGTGTGAATCGTATGGAACCTGAGCTCATCTTCTCTCATTAGACACACACTGCTACATTATTGGCCTCATTAGCAGTCCCCACCGTGCATCACCCAGCATGTGGAGGAGCAGGTAGAGGAAATCAACACTCACAAAATAACAAAAACAATGCAAAGCTATTGGTTTTTTTCTCAAAGCTTATTGTTTCTGGATCATTTTAGCTTTTAATTGCTAATGACTGAGATTTTCTATTTTTAGGTGTATGCATGAACACTGTGTTGAGGATTCATGTTGCAGTTGGAGGTTATGCGTTGTTATTGATGTGGCTGGTCTTTGCACCGTGCAATGTTCTGTCTGAAACTGTTCAGTGTTATTAATGTCCACAGTGTCCACTCTGTGCTGTTATTAATGCGACTCATATACATAAAGAGTTCCCCCATTAGTCAGAGTTGAACTGTGTCACACAGAGAGGAGGTGCACAGAGTCCTCTCCCTCTTTATCCTCCTTCACCTCT